TCAATATTCCTGTGGGGGTATGTTACACCTTTTATAGTATTCCCACAGTTCTTGAATATTCTGTTCTCATTTTTTTTGTGGTTTTTTTTTTTTTCCTTTTTAGATTTCTTTTTGCTTTTCAGTTTTAGAAGTTTCCTTGGACATATCCTCAAGCTCAGGGATTTTTTGCTCAATTGTGTCTGGCCTGCTAATGACACTTTCAAAGGCATTCTTTATTTCTGTTACATTGCTTTTGATCTCTGGCATTCCTTTCAATTTTTTAATTTTTATTTTTTAAAGACTATTTTCTTTAAGATTTTTTATTTTTAAGTAATCTGTACGCCCAACATGAGGCTTAAACTCACAATTCCAAGATCAAGAGTCATATACTCTACATTGACTGAGCCAACCAGGTGTCCCAAAGACTTTTTTAGAGAACTTTTATGTTTAAAGCAAAAATTTTTTTATTAGTTTTTAATTTAAATTACAATATAGTTAGCATACAGTGTTATACTAGTTATAATTAGTGTATTAGTTATATTATGTGTACAAGATAGTGAATCAACAATTCTATATATCATTACTCAGAGCTCATCATCACAAGTGTACTCTTAATCCCTGTTACCTATTTTACCCATACTCTCACCCATCTCCCCTCTGATATGCTTTATTTTGTTTTGTTTTGTCTTGTCTTGTTTTATTTTATTTATTAAGTAGGCTTCATGCTCAGTGCAGAGCCCAACGCAGGGCTTGAACTTGCAATCCTGAGATCAAGACTAGAGCTGATATCAAGAGTTGGACACTTAACTGACTGAGCCACCCAGGTGCCCCTGATATACTTTATTTTAAATGAGTAGCCTCTTAAAGTTATTTTTTTTCAACAAGAATATTTTTTACTTGAAGCATACTTTAAAATACATGGCTCTAAAAGATACATATCCAAGAAAAATAGAATAATATTCTCTTCAAGTACATCCAGAAGAATCCTCTGGCTAAACCACGTAAAAAGACATATAACAAATAAAACAATTTTTAAAAAACTGAAATCATACCAAGTATATTTTCCAACCACAGTGGTACAAAACTAAAGATCAACAACGAAACAAACCTGAAAAATTTACAATGTATTTCTTCTTCTTTTTTTTAATGTTTATTTATTTTTGAGAGAGAGAGAGAGAGAAAGACAGAGTGTGAGTGGAGGAGAGAGGAGCACAGAGAGAGGGAGACAGAATCTGAAGCAGACTCCAGGCTCTGAGCTGTCAGCACAGAGTCCAATGCGGGGCTTGAACCCATAAACTGCGAGATCATGACCTGAGCCAAAGTCGGGTGCTTAATCGACTGAGCCACCTAGATACCCCCAAAATCTACAATGTAACAATTAAATTTTAATATGTAAATATTAACACGCTTCTGCACAAGCAATTGACCCAATACGAAATCAAATGGCAAATCAAAATATGTCTCAAAACAAAAGAAAAAATCACAACATTCCAAAATGTATAGGATGTAGCAAAAGCAGATGAGTGAATTTTATGCTATAAATGCTTGTATTAAGAAAAAAAGTTGAAGTAAACAAGTTAACATTACACCACAAGGAACTAGGAAAAGAAGAAACTTAGCTGAAATTTAGTAGAGGAAGGAAATAACAAAGAAAAATCAGAAATACATAGACAAGAATAACTAATAACATTGAAAGTAATGACCAGTTTTTCCAAAAAAATGAACAAAATTGGCAATTTTCTTAACTACATTAGCTAAGAAGAAAGAAGACTCAAAAACCAAAATGAGAAATGGAAGAGAAAACAATACAACAAATAACCACAAAAATATATAGTGTGATAACAGATCACTATAAACAATTATAAACTAAAAAATCAGATAACTTAGAAGAAAAAACCCAGATAATTCCTAAAAATGCACAAGTTACCAAGATTGAATCATGAATCTTGAATCCAAGAGGTGGAGTCTTCTTAGACCAATAACAAAAATGAAGGTTGAATTAGGAATCAAAAATCTCCCAGCACAGAAAAGCTTAGGACCACATGCTTTCATTGGTGAAATCTACCAGTCATTAAAAAAAATTATCACAATCTTTATCAAAATCTTATGAATAATGGAATAGCGGGAACGCATTCAAAATCATTCCAGGAGGCCAGTACTACCCTGTACCAAAGCAGGATAAAAACAATACAAGAACAAAAGAGTCTGGTTTGTTCAATGTAAATATTGCTACTGGATTTTCTATTCTTTTGACACCCATTTGCATGACAGATGTTTCTCCACCCGCTTACTTTTAATCTGCAGATGTCTTTAGGTCTAAAATGAGTCACTTGCAGGCTTAAAGCAAAATTGACCGGAAATGCTTTTGTGCTAGTTTCAGCCTCTTGATTACCACTGTTGATGGACTGGTCCTTGTGGTTCTTATTATGACTTCCAGCAGGAAACTTTGAAAAACAACAAGTTTTATTACTCATGGGTCCTGAAGGGTATATAGCATACCTGGGGCCACATAGTGATGTCATGGGTAGAGAAAGAGAGCGTGTAGGCTTGGGGTTCTGCTGTTTTGGGGGTCTATGGGTAGAGGCCTTGGGTTTCACAAGTTCACTCTTGATTGGTGAATTTATAAGAGTGGAATTTAAAGCACAGGGAAAGGTCAGGTATCTAAATCAACCAAGATCTCTAAAGCAAAGGAGCCCTGTGCGGGAGGTGATGGCCTGGCTCTTGATCTAGTCATTTGGCTGGCAGTGTGTTTTTCCAAGGTAGCTGTCTTTGCAGTGGAATTGTAGTCAGGTGTTTGCATTACAACAAAGAAAGAAACAGCTATCAGGATTTACACTGTAGAAAGATGACGGAGATTTCCCATATGCACTTCACCCCTTTCCATGCTAAGACTCTCCCATTATTATGTCACTTACCAGAATGGTAAATATATATATATATATATATATATATATATTTAAGTTTATTTATTTATTTATTTTGAGAGAAAGAGTGAGCGTGGGCAGGGTCAGGAGCAGAGAGAGAGATTGAAAGAGAGAGAGAGAGAGAGAGAGAGAGAGAGAAAGAGAAAGCCAAGCAGGCTCCACGTGCTATCAATGAGGGGCTGGATCTCATGAACTCATGACCTGAGTGCTTACCTGACTGGGCCACCCAGGTGCCCAGAATGGTACATTTTTAAACCAAGGATAAACCTACCTTGACTTTTCATCACCCAAGGTCCATAGTTTACCTTAGGATTCTCTGTTGGTGTTGTATATTCTACAGTTTTAGACAAATGTATAATGATATCTGTCCATCATTATAATATTATACAGAGTATTTTCTCTCTCTAAAAATCCTCTCAGCTTTGTCCGGCATTTCTTTTTGGTTGTTCCTGGGAGTTTCCATCTGTCTCCTTATAGTGCCCACCTATTCTTTCATGTTATCTGCTTTTTCCCTTAGAGGCCTTAGAGCATATTAATCATACTTTTTTTTAAAATTACTGGTCTGATTATTCCAACAACCCTGCCATATGTGAGTCTGGTTCTATTGCCTGATTTGTGTTTTCAAACTATGCGTTGTTTTTTTTTAATTGTTTCTAATTTTTATTTTTTTAAATTTTTTTTATTTTATTATTATTTTTTTAATGTTTTTTTATTTATTTCTAGGAGAGAGAGAGACAGCGTGAGCAGGGGAGGGTCAGAGAGAGAGGGAGTCACAGACTGAAACAGGCTCCAGGCTCTGAGCTGGCAGTCAGCACAGAGCCCGACGCGGGGCTCGAACCCACAAACCGCGAGATCATGACCTAAGCGAAAGTCGGACGCTTAACCGACTAAGCCACCCAGGCGCCCCTCTAATTTTTATTTTTAAAATGTTAAGCAGATAACTCCTTTGAAGACTTTCCATTTTCTTTTTCTTCTTTTTTTTTTTGTTTGTCTCTATTTATTCTTTTTTTCTTAAATAATTGTCAAGTTGGTTTCCATAGAACACCCAGTGCTCATCTCAGCAAGTGCCCTCCTCCATGCCCATCACCCACTTTCCCCTCTCCCCCACCCCCATCAGCCCTTGTTTGTTCTCAGCATTCAAGAGTCTCTCATGGTTTGCCTCCCTCCCTCTCCACAACTATTTTCCCCCTTCTTCTCCCGCATGGTCCTCCATTAAGTTCCTCCTAATCCATCTATATGGGCAAACATATGGTATCTGTCCTTCTCTGCCTGACTTATTTTGCGCAGCATAACACCCTCAAGTTCCATCCATGTTGCTACAAATGGACAGATTCCATTCTTTCTCATTGCCATGTAGTATTCCATTATATAGATAAACCACATCTTCTTGATCAATTTGTCAGTTGATGGACACTTAGGCTCTTTTCATGTCAAACTATGTGTTATGTCTTTTAGTATGTCTTGTAATTTTTTGTGAAAGGTGGACATGATGTACTGGGTAAAGGGAGCTCTGATAAATAAGTTTTTAGTGGTGAGGTGGTGAAGGTGTGAGGGAGGTGAAGCGATTTTTGGTCCTATGAGTGACTCTCAGTCCTTTAGAGAGCCCTTGCTATGGGACTGTGAACTTCAAAAGTGCTTCTTAGTCCTCCCTTCAAGTTGGATAGATGGTTAGAATGGGCTGGAGCTGGGTATGTTCCTTATCCCAATTCGGTTAGGTTCTGATAAAACCTCAATAGATTAGGCTGTGGTAAAATAGTTTTTCTTGAGGGCAGGCCTTGTTAAGAAGAACTGAATGCTCTGTTATATTTCAAAATGATTCCTTTTCTTCTTATTTTGCTGGAAGTCTGATATTTATTATGGGAACTTGATTTAGCTCCCAGAGGTAAAATCCAGTGTGGAGATCTCTTTATGACTTTATTCCTCATCCTGATTTCACTGTTATAATAAGATAGCCCTGTAAAACTAGTAAGCTCTGGGTTTTGAAACAATGTCATCCCAAGTAGTTTTATTAAAATTAAATTTAAGCAGAAATATACTTGGTTGATATAAGGAAATTTATTATAGCTGTGGTTTCTGTGTTTGTGTTTCTCTCTTCAGTACTTGGACCATGAGACTGTTTCAGCCACATTCATTGACAGCAGTGGACAGTTTGTTTCCTCCCAGATGACAAGAATTAGCCGGAATCCTTACTGTGGCTATGAGCATCAGACTCTGTCCAGCCGGGAGCGCATGGAGGAGGACTCCTTGCTGGCTGCCTTACAGTGGCAGCTGCCTGAAGTGGGTCCAGTCCCCTTTTTGAAGAGCACTGACCCTTCTTCTAGCTACTTTGTTATCATGAACTCCGCAGCCTTCTTCATGGTGGGAAGCCAGCTTGAAGTGCTAGTTCATGTGCAGGATTTTCAAAGAAAGCCCAAGAAATACGGTGGAGACTACCTACAGGCCAGAATCCACTCCCCTAAGCTGCAGGCAGGGGCTGTGGGCAGAGTGGTAGACTATCAGAATGGGTTTTACAAGGTCTTCTTTACTCTGCTCTGGCCCGGCAAAGTTAAAGTGTCCATATCTCTGGTCCACCCCGCTGAGGGGATCAGAGTTCTTCAGCATCTGCAGGAAGAGAAACCACACAGGGTCTATTTCAAGAGTCTCTTCCGTTCAGGAAGAATTTCTGAAACCACTGAGTGCAATGTGTGTCTTCCTGGGAATCTGCCCCTGTGTAACTTCACAGATCTCTATACTGGAGAACCCTGGTTCTGCTTCAAACCAAAGAAGCTCCCTTGCAGTAGCAGAATTAACCATTTCAAAGGTGGATATCTGAAGGGCCTCCTAACTGCTGCAGAGACTGCTTTCTTCCAGAGGTATGTGTTCCTTGTTCTAGGGGGTAATTTTAAGGTCCTTTTCCACTGTTTTTTCTCCCCAACTAGGCAACACCATCCCATTTCAGAGACTTTCTTGTTTTGGTTATTTGCTTCATATATCTCTCTGAAGTTGACCCTATTTGGGAGAGGTAGCGAATAGGAAAATAAACACATATTTCTATTTTGTGAATAGTTTTTATTTATTTAAAAATAATTTTAGATATTTTTAATGTTTTATTTATTTTTTTTTGAGAGAGAGAGAGAGACAGCGTGAGCAGGGAAGGGTCAGAGACAGAGGGAGACACAGAATCTGAAGCAGGCTCCAGGCTCTGAGCTGGCTGTCAGCACAGAGCCCGATGAGGGGCTGGAACCCACAAACCATGAGATCGTGACCTGAGCCAAAGTTGGACGCTTAACTGACTGAGGCGTCCAGGCTCCCCCAAATATTTTTAGATTTAAAAATTTTTTTAAAGCAATCTGTACACCCAACCTGGGGCTTGAACTCACAGCCCCAAGATCCAGAGTTGCATGCTCTAGTAACTGAACCAGCCAGGTGTCCCCTTGTGAGTAGATTTTAGAAAGTGAAGTTTGGAGCTTATTCCAGTTTTCAAATTAAAGACCTTTTACTTTCAGATTTATGTTTCACTTCAGAACTACATAGCATATCTATAGCTGTATAAGAAAGACCACTTATTCATAGAACAGATGAAAAACATCACAGAAGAACAAGGTGGCTAGAGGTCTTATAGTCAGGATACTGTTTGAGCTTCGTCTAATAAACTAAAAAAAAATTTAGGAGCACCTGGTGGCTCAGTTAGTTAAACAGCCTACTCTTGGTTTTGGCTCAGGTCATGACCTCATGGTTTGTGAGATCGAGCCCTGCTTTGGACTCTGTGCTGACAGCGCAGAACCTGCTTGGGATTCCATCTTTCCTGTCTCTCCCCTGCTTGGGCTCTCTCTCTCTCTCTCAAAATATATAAATAAACTTTAAAAACAATTTTAAGTGACATTATCAGTTGTTAAAATTATATATTGATAGGAAAAAGACTGTGAATATGATAACAGTGCTGGGTTGACTTAATGATAAACATGGAAAGCCAGGAATATGACAGCAAACTGTATTTTTCAAATTAATAGTTGTGGAAATTTTTGCATTTTTGTGTACAAATTTCTGTTTTGCAACATAAGTGTGAAATTTTTTCAGCATAATGATCAATATGTGGAATAGTGTGCAGAATGGAATGTATGGGATCATTATGGATCAACATTTCATACAGTTCTGAAGTAAAATAGCATGACTAAGGAAAAAAAGTTATGAAAGCTGTATGGTCAAAAAGTCCAATTATTTGACAGGATGTAAAAATGTCTCTTTTTTAAAAAATTGAAATACTTAGGGGCGCCTGGGTGGCTTAGTCGGTTAAGCATCCGACTTTCGCTTAGGTCATGATCTCGCGGTTCGTGGGTGCGAGCCCCGCGTCGGGCTCTGTGCTGACTGCCAGCTCAGAGCCTGGAGCCTGTTTCAGTCTGTGACTCCCTCTCTCTCTGACCCTCCCCTGCTCACGCTGTCTCTCTCCTCTCTCTCCTAGAAATAAATAAAACATTAAAAAAAAAATTAAAAAAAAATTGAAATACTTAAAAATACTCCCTGGTGAAGAGGTAGTTTTGTTGAGCACCTCTGGGCAACTGTAAAAAATTTTGTTTTATGTCCACTCCTTACTCAGTGAGGGAAAAGTCCTACTATAACGTATGTAGGAGCTTCTCAAACAAAGCTTTGATTTTTCACTTCTGGCGTCCGCTGTTGGTCAATCAGTTTTAAATACTATTTGGTGAACTGATGCCATGCTGTTAGGTGGCCAGCAGAGGAAGCACTACTCAATGTATTACTGTACTGTTCTTCAGAAGACTGTCCAGTTTTTTTGTGTGGCTGAGTATACAAAGACTTTAGCTTCAGTTTTATTCCTGGGTTCAATTTCAGACATGCTATTTATCAGTGATGGTGAGCAGATGATTTCAGTTCTGTGTACTTTTAGCCGATGTGTGAAGGCTGCTCAGTTTCTCCAGGTTTAGAGTTGTGTTGTCAGTCCACTTAGTGGCTTAGCAAAAAAGAGGAAGTACAGCTAATAACTTACTGAAATGCCATGTGGAAAAAAGTGGGAGAAAAACTAAAATTTAAGAATTTAAATGGCAGAGCCAGACACGGGACTCGAACTCATGAAGAGATGATGATCTGAGCTGAAACCAAGAGACGGACACTAAACCGACTGAGCTACCCAGACACTCCCTCTCGCGTGTTTTTCGCAACATTAAGGATTTGATGCCACTGCTTTGTAGGATGGCCCTTAATTTGGATTTGCTGCTTTGTTGTTTCTACATGACCAGATTGAGATTAAACATTTTTATAGGAAAATTACAAAGGACAAATTTTCTTCTTTTCCTTATCTTAAAGCTTTCTCATGAAAGCAGTTTATTTGTGCTGTTTTAAAAGTCATGTTCTCTCCGAAATGTAACTTATATAAGCTATTTTCTAACATACTGTCAACCTATTAAAGCCACAGGAGTAGGGGCGCCAGCCACGTGCACAGTCAAAAATCTGCTATAACTTTTGACTTCCCAAAGACTTAACTACTAACATCCTACCATTGGCTGGAACCTTTACTGATAAAATTAGTTGATTAACACATATTTTGTATGCGGTATGTATTATATATACTGTATTCTTATAGTAAAGTAGGCTAGAGAAAAGAAAATGTTAAGAAAATCATTAGGAACAGAAAATACATTTATGGGACTGTACTGTATTTATTGAAAAAATCCATGTGTAAGTGAAGCTGCACAATTCAAAGCCATGTTGTTCAAGGTCAGCTACACTGCCTTCCTTGTTTCTTGTCTCTCCATTAGAATGTCATTTCCCTGAAGGAGGAGACACTGTGTGTCTTGTTTACTGTTACACCCCTGACATCTAGGACGGTGCCGGGGCCATAGTAGAAGCTCAAGAATTATTCTTTTAATTTATTTAAAAAAATTAATTCCAGTGTGGTTAACATACAGTGTTATATCAGTTTCAGGTGTATGATATTGATTGTGATTCGGCAATTCCATATATTACTCAGCGCTAATCAATAGAAGTGTACCCTTAATCTTCTTTACCTATTTCACGCATCTCCCTGACCACCTCCCCCCATCTGTTTGTTCTCCATAAGTTTTTTATACTTTCTGTTTTTTAGTCTCTCTCTTTTTTTCCTTTGTTCATTTGGAAGCTTAAGAATTATTTAAGAGCAGGGGTTCCTGGGTGGCTCAGTTGGTTAAGCGTCCGACTTCGGCTCAGGTCATGATCCCATGGTTTGTGGGTTCGAGCCCCACGTCGGGCTCTGTGCTGACAGCTCAGAGCCTGGAGCCTGCTTTGGATTCTGTGTCTCCCTCTCTCTCTGCCCCTCCCCCACTCATGCTCTGTTTCTCTCTGTCTCAAAAATAAACAAACATAAAAAAAATAAAAAGAATTATTTAAGAACATACTTCTTTTGAATTAATTTTTGATAAAACAAAATATTGTGATTCAAGTTCACATATCAAGAATTTGGAAAGTTAGCATTTTATTTTTTTTGTTTGTTTTTGATCTAAATGTAAGAAGTAATTGTTGTGACCCAATTTCTTGCATAGTTACACCAAATTTCTAGTACTTTACCCCTGGACTCCACTCTCTCCCACTTTTTCACACAGCCTTCTATCTAATATTGTCCAGGCATGGACTCTAGCCCAGGGCCTGTGCTAAGTGCTGGAGACAAAAGGTGAGTGAGACTGTCTGTGTTGCCAAGGAGCATATGTTTTAAAAAGAGACACTACAGAGCCATAGCAATGGTGAACAAAGTACCAAAAGAGCACATATCTGTGGACAAGTGTCTCCTGTAGGACTCATCTGTTCTGGGCAAGACCTGAGGAATCTGACATAGATTTGTAGCCTGAAAGTTAGATAGTAACAGAATGGACATTCTCACTAGTGTGGGCCACTTTCTGAGTCCAAGGGGAATAAGGAATTCAAACCAGAATTTGTCATTTTGAAGCTTATACTCTCAGGACTATGCAGTGAAAAATTAAAAACCTATTTAATTTCTATTCACTCTATATATCCTCATAACCTGCTTATTTTAAGGGACCTAGTTCATTAACTAATTGTATGGAGTACCATTTATAAGAATATTTCATCTTAAGCTTCTGTGAAATCTTATTTTTTTATTTGCAAATGAAAACACATATTAGAAAATAAATGTTCTTTTTTTTTTAATATTTTTATTTATTTCTAGGAGAGAGAGAGAGAGAGAGACAGCGTGAGCAGGGGAGGGTCAGAGAGAGAGGGAGACACAGACTCTGAAACAGGCTCCAGGCTCTGAGCTGGCAGTCAGCACAGAGCCCGACGCGGGGCTCGAACCCACGAACCGCGAGATCATGACCCAAGTGGAAGTTGGACGCTTAACCGACTAAGCCACCCAGGCGCCCCAGAAAATAAATGTTCTTGAATCTAAGCTTATATTCTTCTTATTCCTTTTAAAGTGGTGTCAATATCAAAATGCCAATCAACTCCAGTGGACCTGACTGGGTGACTGTGATTCCCAGGAGAATGAAAGGTAAAAAGAATGAGCTTGAGGATTTGTTGTTTTTCTTGCTAAATGGGTTGAGGCTCTGTGGTTTCACTAATGTCATGAAAACTTCTTTCCTCCTTTTAACATGCAATGGATACTTCTGGGCACAATTGAAAATAGTAAAAGAGCTTTCTAATTAAAATAAATCAGACCTTATGTGCACAGTCTTGGGCTTGGCTATTTATACTCTTGTGAAAGCCATCTTCTTCCCCCTCCTCCCTCTATGGTTGGCTCCTATAGAGCCTTCAGTGCCATATGGTCCGTTATAGTAGCTACTAGCCACACGTGGCTATTTAAATGTAAATTAATTACAATTAACTAAAATTAAAATTTTAATTCTTTTTTTAAACAATTTTTTAATGTTTATTTCCGAGAGACAGAGATAGAGCATGAGCAGAAGGGCAGAGAGAGAAGGAGACACAGAATCCAAGCAGGGTCCAGGCTCTGAGCTGTCAGCACAGAGCCCAACATGAGGCTCGAACTCACAACTGTGAAATCATGACCTGAGCTGAAGTCTGACACTTAACTGACTGAGCCACGCAGGCGCCCCTAAAATTTAATTCTTAAGCCACACATCCTCCAGAGCAGTGCGTGGCTGGTGGCTGCCATGTTGGACAGCATGTTATATGGAATGTAGTTATCCATCATTGCAGAAGTTCTGTTGGATATCACTACTCCAGAGTTATTAAAGAAATGCATGTAAAATTGGCAAGGATTTTTTTTTTTAAATCAAAATCACGTTAGTGAGCTGCCGTTTTCTCAAATTGTGATCTCTGCATTAACAGCATCAGCTAGAATTGCAGATTCTCAGGTCTTATCTCAGGCTACTGAATCAGAAACTCTGGGGAGTGGGGCCCAGCAATCTGTGTTTTAGCAAACCTTCTAGATGATTTTGATCCACTGGCATAGGTATTGTTAAAAGTAAAACATCAAAATTGAGAAGAGTAAATGTACATGTTCTATGTTAGCCATGGTGACTTTTAGAAAGAAAGGATAACTATTATTAAGGAAACTTATGCGGATGGCAAGGTCCTTTTAGCTGTTGAAAGCATATATGGACAGTATATATGATAGATATTGCACAGATTGCCACACAGATGCCATAGGGCCTAAGTGTATAATACATAGGAGTCTAGCCAGGGTGAGTATGAGTCATAGGCATGCCTTGTGTGAGTGGTGGGGGAAGAACCGAAGAGCAAGGACAGCCTGTCTGCAGCTCCTGCTGCCTTGTTGTACAGAAATGTGGTCGATCTACAGGGTTTCTTTTTTCCATGAACAAAAATCAGAAGTCTTAATCTTTAAATGTAATATCTCCAGATTTCAAAACATTGGCATCCATCAGCATCCCTCATCATCAGGGAAATACAAATCAAAACCATGCTGAGATACCACCTCACGCCAGTGAGAGTGGCTAAAATGAACAAATCAGAAGACTCTAGATGCTGGTGAGGATGTGGAGAAATGGGCACCCTCCTACACTGCTGGTGGGAATGTAAACTGGTGCAGCCCCTCTGGAAAACAGTGTGGAGGTTCCTCAAAAAATTAACAATAGAACACCCCTATGACCCAGCAATAGCACTGCTAGGAGTTTACCCAAGGGATATAGGAGTGCTGATGCATAGGGGCACATGTACCCCAAGTTCATGGCAGCACTCTCAACAATAGCCAAAACATGGAAAGAGCCTAAGTGTCCATCAATGGATGAATGGATCAAGAAGATGTGACATATTTATACAATGGAATACTACATGGTGATGAGAAAGAATGAAATCTGGCCATTTGTAGCAATATAGATAGAACTAGAGGGTGTTATGCTGAGCGAAATAAGTCAGGCAGAGAAAGACAGATACCATGTGTTTGCACATATAGGTGGATTAGGAGGAAGCTAACGGAGGACCATGCGGGAGAAGAAGGGGAAAAATAGTGGGGGAGAGGGAGGGAGGCAAACCATGAGAGACTCTGAATGCTGAGAACAAACTGAGGGCTGATGGGGGAGGGGGAGGGGGAAAGGGGGTTGATGGGCATGGAGGAGGGCACTTGTTGGGATGAGCATTGGGTGTTACATGGAAACCAACTTGACAATAAACAATTTAAGAAAAAAAAAACATTGGCATCCAATTGCACACATTTAAAATATTGTGTGGGCTAAATAAAATTTGTCTGTGGCCCAGATACAGCCAGGATACTGCCAGTCTGTATCTCTCGTCTCCACTGTCATGTGCCACAAGAAATCCCAGTCTTTTCCTAATGAAAAACTATATTTGATTTACTAAAAGCCAGTGAATTACTAATTTGAAAGGATTCATATATGAAACATCATTAACAGAAATACTCTTATTTGCCTTTATTGACTTGGGACTCGGCTTCCATGTCTATTCCTCCTAATCCTATGCTCCTCATACTCTGTCCTTCTCTGCCTGAGCCCCAGCCTCCTTGCTTGGCTGCCTTGTCTCTGGGTGTCTCGTGAGATGGTCAGTGGGTGGAGCCTTGGATGATTTACCTGCACCTGACAGGTCTCGATGTTCAGCCAAGAAGTGGTTGTGGGTTTGTGATGTATTGTTCTGTTTAGAAAGAAGACAGATTTTGTAACTAGTGAGAATTTTGGTGGTGTTTTAGAGGAAGAAAGGAACTATGAATCAATAGGAGAAGAGCTTGGCTTTGAGAAGACCTCCTCAGAGCAGGCACATTACTGGAAAGAGAAGAGAAGGGCAATGGCTTTACCTAACATCAAAGACACCCCACTTAGGAGAACTTCACTGAAGTTCACTCCTGTAACTAGCAGGGTGCACTCAAAGACCCTAAACCAAGGGCTCACATCCCTCCCCGTCCCTCCCTATCTTCCTCTTTTCATTCCTTTCTTTCTCTTTTTTTAATATATATATATATATATATATATATATATATTTGTTTTCAGAATATTTTAGACTTAAATATGTTACAGAAATAGTATAAAGTTCCTGTATAGCCTACACACAGCTTCCCCTTATGCCAACATCTTATGTAACCACAGAATACTTTCAAAACTTAACATTTTAACATCAGTACAGTATCATTAAACTACGCTGTAGAGTTTATTTGGATTTCATGAGTTTTTCCACTAACGTCCTTTTTCTGTTTCATAATCCCATGCTGAATCCCAGATTGCATTTAGTCACCATGTTTCTTTAGTCTTCCCTCTGTGACATTTTCTTGACCTTTACACTTTGAAGAGCTTTGGTCAGATAGTTTTTAGAATGTTCCTAAATTTGGATTTTTTAATGTTTTATAATGATTGGAAGGAGAGTATGCATTTTTGGAAGAATGGCACAGAAATGCTCTTGTGTCCTTTTAAGGGAGAACATGATGTCAATATGTATGTTAATGATGTTAAATTTGATCACTTGGTTAAAGTGGTGTCTGCCAGGGTTCTCTTCTCTGTATTGTGGGGAGATACTTTGAGACTGTGGTAGACTGAATAATGGCCCCCAAAGATAACCAGATTTTAATCCCTCAAATTTGTGAACATTACTATGTTGGATGGCAAAGGAAATTTTGCTTGCATGATTAAGCTAAGGGTATAGAGATGGGGAGAGATTATCTGGATAATCTGAGTGGGCTCTAAATGCAATCACAAGTGTCCTTTTACAAAGGAGGAGGTGGAACATTTCATACAGAAGCATAAGGCAGTGTGACAGCAGAAGCATAGAGAAATTTGAAGATGCCATGCTGCTGGCTTACCAAATGGAGAAAGAGACCATGAGCCAAAGAATATAGCTGTAGCAGAGGAAAGGGAACAGATTCTTCCCTTGCTCTTCAGGGAGGGCATGGCCTTACTGATACCTTGGTTTTGGCCCAGTGACACTGATTTTGGCTTCTGGCCTCCAAAACTGTAAGAGAACATGTTTGTGTTGTTTTAAGCCACTGAATATGTGGTAATTTGTTATAGTAGCCACAGGAAACTATTGCAAAGTCATCCTGGATATCTCTGTATTACATCAGGATGTAAACTTCCTATTTCTGCTTATACTTCCACCCACTAATTTTAGCATTCAGTAATAGGTCTTGACAGCAGGAATTATTTGGGTGGTATTTAATGGTGACTTTCTAATCTCTCATTTCTAAGACACTTATTAATTGGAATTTTTCTATAAGGAAGAGTTGTCCTTTCTTTCCCATTATTTAATTATGTACTTCCAGACTCATGACTCATGATTATTTATCTCATTCTTTGGATTATTACCCAATTCAGTTGTTATTTATTTTGTTGCTCTAATTGCTCCAGTTTTGGCAATTGGGGATTTTTTTCAGTTTGGCTCCTATGCCCCTTTGATGTACTACCATATATATGTGTGTGTGTGTGTGTACATATTTATATATATTTTTTTTCCTTAAGTACTTCCTTACTCTCTGACACCACAAGATATTTCATGCCCATCTTGTGTATTATTTGCCCTGGACTTGGAAGGGTTCATAGTCTTTCTACTTTTATTATTTTACTTACAAATCCTGTGTTTGGAATGGTTTTATTTCCCTATCAACATTTTTAAAAAGTATTAATTAATTGATCTTCCTGCAAGTTAAAATTATTCTAAGATGCATTTTCAGTCTGTTGAATTGTTTGAGATTACCTGTCTACCCCCATGCATGGGTATTCCAGTCAAAAGCAAAGAAACATAGCTTTTAATTAGATGAAACTACCTCATCAGGGATAAGCATCTGGTTTCTGACAGCCTTTCCCAGTGTAAGAATTGCTGCTGAATTTTCAGTAGCACCTGTACTGTGGTCCCTAGATCTTCATAGCCTGAAAGAAGCCGTGATGGCTTCTAACCTCATCAATAACTAAACCAGAGTTCATATTTTGGGGGGAAGCTTACTTAGAGTTTGGGGTAAAACTAGATTTAATAGCAACAGAATAAACATTAACATCTTTGTAGCCCTTTGCTATTTTCTTTATCTTTTTAAAAATTAAAAATTAATTAATTAATTATATTTTAGAGAGAAGAGAG